CATTCAAATAATGGAACCCTGTAGATCATAAACTAATTATTTTAAACCCCATGTTTTATACATTTTTGAAATCAGTTAAACGAGAACAATCCAAAAATGGATAAAAAAATGGGGGAAGCCATTTAAAAAAAATTGAAGGGATGATAGTAGGGGTGAAAGGGTGACTTTTTCAGCAAACTTAAATATGGCACGATATCTCCCCCTTCGAATATTAATTGACGTATTTTTTGTTTTTTGTAATAATCAGTCCTTCAAAAGTTACTTAAGGTGCATACTTTTATCTGAAAAGCACTGTACAATAGTTATATATTAAATTAAGAGGATGCAACTTCTATTACACTATCCATCCATCAAATGCAGCAAGAAGAGGAAGTGCGTTAATTATTAAAAATAACATTTCCAACTATGAGGAACCAGACAACCAAGAACCATTAGCACCATTAACATTAAGGGAGCAAAATTACAATAGCTGCAATCTATTGTTCACCAAGATACAACCAGAAAAAAGAAAATTTTCTTAGTGTACTCAAAAATTAAAATCGGTGGAGATTACAACTCCAAAAACACCAACTGGGATTCAAGATTAACCACAAGAATTGCACCGAGCTGCATCAGAACTTGGTTGTACATACCAATCCTCTGAAAAACCCACCTATTGGTCCACCGATCCAAATAAGATTCCAGACCTTTCAGATTTCTTTATTCTGAGGAAAATTTCATCAAACTATACATAAATAGAAGAAAACTTTGATATGGATTCAGATTATTCTACACTAATCCTTACTCTAAGTGATAATGGTGTTAAACTAATTGGGAAGGTTTTAAAGAGGGCTTAACAAGTACTATTCAATTGACTATAACACTAAAAACGAAAAATCAGCTAGATGAAGAACTGGAAAGGTTTATAATTGAAATCCAGCAAGCTGCATGGAAGAATACACCAAAATTAAGAAGATTAACAGCTGGAAAAAACTATTCTGCTAGCAGAAAAAAGAAAACTAAGAAAGAAATGGCAGATGACAAGATCACCAGAAGATAAAAATATAGACTGAGAAGAGAAATCCTGAATTACAAAGAAGAATTCTTCAACAAATACCTAGTAGGGCCAACAGATGATAAATAAATTGATTATTCACTTTGGAAGGCAACTAAAAAGATAAAAACTTCGTGGAAACACTGTCCTCCTATCAGAATAGCAGATAACAACTGATATTTTCACTGACCACCTTCAAAAGACGTTCCAATTAGATGAAAATCAAGACACTCTCAATGAAAGAGCGGAGAAATCCTGAATCACAAAGAAGAATCCTTCAACAGATACCTAGTAGGGCTAATAGATGATAAAGAAACTAATTATTCATTCTGGAAGGCAACTGAAAAGAAGAAAAATTCGTGTAAACAGTGTCTTCCTATCAAAATAGCAGAGACAATCAACAGAAAGCTGATATTTTCGTTGATCGCCTTCAAAAGACCTTCCAATTAGATCAGCCATACTCAACCTTTTTTCCTTCGGACCACATACGTATGTTTGCTATGTTACATGGGCCGCAATATCTTTGGATGATGACCCTTTATTTAGGCCACTTATTTAAAATTTTTTTAGTGGAAACCTCTAATAAAAAAAAACCGTAATACATAAATATATCCCGTAGGGGTAAGATAACTCACATTTTTAGAGTTTCGAGAAAATGCTCTTCAAAAGTTTAAAATGAAATAAAAAAATCTGATGTGTCCAACACATGACTTTCCTATCTAGTTAACCTATTGCAGCATCTCTAAAAATGTTTAGAGGATAAACTAAATATATACATTTTCCACATACATCTACCTCGAAACATTTTTCTATAGATATTCATTGAAAACGAAAATACTGAAAAATTTAAATTTAGCACTTTTCCTCCAATTTTTCCATTACGGTCCATTTTAGAAAAGTCATTTAAAAACAAAAATTATACAGATCGATATCGCAAACAACTTTTAGATTAACAATTTTCTTAAAAATCAGAATTTTGCACATTTTGTCAAATTTCTCGAATAGGGACCATTTCAGGAAAATTTGACATATAACAAAAATTATAGATAATAATATTTTAAGTAACTTTTATTTAAAGAATTTTCTTCCCCAAACGTAAATAACGAATATATTCCATAAAATATAAAAATGACCACCAATAAAGTACCCCCCCAAATGTTCCGACTCTGTCCAAAATCTAATCAGTTCACCTCAGGTCGAAATAAAACTTAAGTTTAAAATTTAATGTTTTTTCCTTTATCCGCATTTGAGTTTTCTTCAAAATTCGAAATTTACACATTTTCTCAAATATCTCGAATACGGTCCATTTTAGAGAAATTATTTATAGGATAAAAATTATAGAGAATTATATTACAAACAACTTTTATTTAAACAATTTTTATAAAAAATTATTTTTTTTACATTTTGTCAAATTTCTCGAATACGGACCATTTTAGGAAAATTTTGCATAAAACAAAAATTATAGATAATTATATAAGAAGTAACTTTTATTTGAAGAATTTTCTTCTCCAAACGTAAATAACAGATATATTCCATAAAATATAAAAATGACCACCTATAAAGTACCCCCCCAGATGTTCCGACTCTGCCCAAAATCTAATCAGCTCATTGGACGCTAAAACAAAGCTTAAGTTTAAAATTTGGTGTTTTTCTGTGTATCGGTTCATGAGTTATGCGACCTACAGACACACACACACAGACATCATCGCGAAAATAGTCAAAACGGATTCAGGGGACCTCAAAACGTAAAAATCCGTCGAAAACTCGAGGTCGAAAAAAATCATGATTCCTATACTTTCCTTATATCTGTATACAGATAGGAAAGTAAAAATCAGTAAAAGCACTGTTTAATAAACAACTACTGAAAAAAACTAGGAATCTATGGGAACAAAAAAAAATTAGAAAAAATGTCACAACTTATTTTAGCTGTCTACAAAATCATTCTCTATTCGATACGTATCGTGTCGAGTTCGCACACAAGAATCCATGTGCAATTCATAATATTCAATGTCTGTGTCACTAGCTTCTGTGAAAGTTTCAGGAAATGTCTTTAACATTATTGGATACAACTAGATTGTGCAATACTTACATTATTTTGCACTTTTTATAAGTATTTTCAGAGCCTTTTTTCACCCTTTTAGTCATCCTTCTGTCGGTATGGCTTGTGTTTTTCAAGCAATGCGAGAAGCTCATGTTTCGATGATTTAAGAAATGCTTCTGGTCGTTTTTAACGTGCAAATAATATGGAGACGAGCGTTAGCATCCCCATTCGTTACGGCTTGACCCCAAGGATCGAAACCCGTAACTTTAGAGTTTACCACCTTTGTTCTGCTGAGGCAGGCCATTGGAATTCAATCCCTCTGATAAGACGTCACATTCCACCAAGTGAAAGTTCAATCAAATGGAACTTAATGACTTGGTTCGAGATTTGGGGATATCTAAGGACGAGTCCGAACTGTTAGCTTTTCGTTTGAAAGAGAAAGGTTGTCTAGAGAAAGGAACGAATATGAATCATTAGTATTTTGCAGAGATATAGGTCTATTCGGGAATTTGAAGTCAAACATGATTCGGACGATTGGCGGCTAAGTTTCTTTTCTCTATTCTGTGGTTCTTGTGAACTAGCCTTAAGTTTCTTTTCTGTATTGTTCTCTATTCTGTGGTAAACTAGCCCTATATTTCTTTTCTCTATTCCTATTCTGTGCTTCTTGTGAACTAGCCCTATGTTTCTTTTCTGTATTGTTCTTTATTCTGTGGTTTTTGTGAACTAGCCATACGTTTATTTTCTGTATTGTTCTCTATTCTGTCGTTCTTGTGAACTAGCTATATATTTATTTTCTGTATTGTTCTATATTCTATGGTTCTTGTGAACTAGCTCTATGTTTCTTCTCTGTATTGTTCTCTATTCTGTGGTTCTTGTGAACTAGCTCTGTGTTTCTTTTCTGTATTGTTCTCTATTTTGTGGTTCTTGTGAACTAGCCCTATGTTTATATTTTTCAGTATTGTTTTCTATTCTGTGGTTCTTGTGAACTAGCCCTACGTTTCTTTTCTGTATTGTTCTCTATTCTGTGGTGTAGCTTCTATCATTCGCATTTCTTGCTAAATAATCAGTTAGAGCCACATACTTTGATTACTATACGAGGCAAGAGAGAGGTCCGACACGCCCAACATAGGGCGCGTCCATTTTGAACCCTGTGACACAGTTTACAGCTAAAGAATCAGATCGCTTACTCTGCGTCGGCAATTTGGATCTCAATGTTTCAGTTTATACACTGTGCAACTCGGATAATACAATATATGACAACCGCCTATAATAAAACAGCAGTCTTCTGCGTATCCTGAATTTGTATCCCTGAAGTGGATGTTATTTTGGAACTTTCAACTGGTCCGAGTGAGCTAACTGATTCTTTAGCAATAAACTGTGACTTCAAAAATATTATTCACTGACACTGACAGCAGCAAGCAAAATATCAGGTGAGTTTTAATCATCCGCTACTGCTTCCGGAATTGTCGGTTTAGTCGTTTTAACCTGTCAGATTAAAACAAGAAAACCGACAATTCCGAAGCAGAAGGGGATGATTAAAACGCACCTATTAAAAATATTGCGCCAAGATGTAGGCAATACGTAATAAGGGTTCAAAATGGCGGAGTTTTCTATCTCCTTTTAAAAGGCACTCAGAAAGCTGCGCAGTGCGATCATTCTCCGTATAATAAAAGAAAATCAAAGTATGTGGTTAGAGCTCACTTGGACCAATTGAATGTTTCAAATTAACATCCACACCAGGGATACAAATTCAGGATGCACAGAAGACTGCTGTTTGAATATAGGCGGTTGTCATATATTGTATTGGTTATGATTTGATTCTTAATGCGCCAGGGATACAAATCCGAGTTGCGCAGTATATAAACTGGAACAATGAGATCAAAAGTGCCGACGCAGAGTGAACGAACTGATTCTTTAGCTATAAACTGTGTCTTGGCGTTTAACGTGTTAATATCTATCTTGTCACGTTTCACTAAATCAAGTATGTAACCGTCAAAACTTCATTATGTTTATTTTGGCATAACATCTTTCCACATTTGTGTTGTCTCGTCAAAATTTTTTGTGTTTTTAACATTTTTTTTGACCTAAAAATTTAATTTCGGTTGCGTTCTCCATCATTTTAATTTAGTGATCCAAAGTCTCCATCGTCTATCATTTCATCATGCCGAGGTGTAATCCAGGTAAGTCCTCATCGATAGTTTACTTGAATTGGTTTGCTGGGAATGTTATTTTTGCAGGACCGGGTCCAGCGGCGTACAAGCTCAGACCGCTTACCGGTTACAAATGCCATGACTTTACAAAAGATAGAGCTCCGCAATTCAGCATGCAAAGGAAAACGAAAGTTCCTAAAGAATGTCCAATTGGTCCTGGACCGGCTTTCTGTCTTCAAGGAACCACGCGTTTTGGACCTAAATGTCCAGCGGGATGGACAATGCCTAGGAAATATCCACCACCAAGTACGTAGAATGTTTTATTAAGTATATTAATACGAAAATATCCAACAGAACCGCAAGTTGTTATCAATTCTTCAATTTAAACATTTTACGCATTTTGTCACACTTAATAGAGTTAAAATTAATTTCTAACTAATTTTCGCTTGATCGCCAGATGGACGAGTCAATTTTACGATAGGAGGGGAGCGGTGCTCTCAGTCTTCCTTCTCGCACAAGAATTCATTCAAATTTCATTATTTTTCATTAATTTTAATTAATAAATTTAAGGACGAACTGAACCTAGTGGAGAAGGAATAATAAGCACTTAGAATAGAGCAGGGGAAAGTTGAAAATGGAAAACTATTAAAGTGATAGCGGAACAATAGGAAGAAATACAAAAATTACATAAAAAATCTGTTAATAAATGAAACATTAATAAAATAATTGGGAATAACTTTTTTATTTAGAATTTGTATGCGAAAGATCTTTTTAAGAACGTGTGTATTAATATGAGAGCACAAATACGTTCTTAAAATGTCTTAAAAACGTCTTGCCAAATCCATATATTAATATGACGTTTCCCAGTCGGACGGAAAACTGCACGATTCACGTAATTCAAATTTAACAAGAAGGGTCAACGTTTTTCTAGTCCGACGGAGGACTAAGCGATAAGCAGGAACGTCGTGAGGGAGGGGCAGGGAGGAAAAATACCTATGGAGTGCCCGACAGCATTAAAAAAATAGATTACAATATTTGGAGGGGGGAAAAAAGACTATTTGGGTAGATTAATTATTTTTACAAATTATAATTTGTTTTTTAGAGATCGATTGCGTGCCTGGTCCGAAATATTGTCCGAAATGGGCTCATCCGAGGGCTCCAGCTTACAGCATTCAGCGTAAATATAAATGTTGCGTAGATGTAATGCCCGGACCAGCGGATTATTGCATATGCAGAAAACCAAACAATTGGCCAGCATTCACTATGTGAGTTAAAAAATAGGGTGTATATATATACAGGGTTATTCCGGAATCCTTAAAAAAATCATCTATCCTTTCTTTACTCAATTTATTAGATTTCGGACCCACTATATGTTTACTGAGATTGTATTTATGGGGATAAATTATTGAAATTTTTGTAGGCCGAGAAAATACAAACCAAGATGTCCTGATCTCACTCCTGGTCCATATCCTTACGTATGCACAACGATTTTCAAAACGAAAGAACCTGGTTATACGATGATATCGAAGGCTTTCCCGAAACAACCAAAGCCTTGTTCGCCTGGACCTGCAGCATATTGCGCTAGATTGCCAAAGAAATGCATGGTTGGCCAAGCATTTGGACATAGAGATCAAAATATTGATGTGTACTATACAGATGAAGATAGAATGCCTGCTTGCAGTCGATATAGAACGTGTTGAAACTGAAGAAATTGAAGAAACTATAGAAGAATGTTTGAACTGGATAACATCGAGGATATCGTCAAGAATAGAAGATTATCAGTTCAAGAAGTAATTTAATAAGAAAGAAATGGAATTACCCTTTACATACATCATACATTCATATCTGCATAACCTGGGAGAAATAAATTTTTAGGTCAAACTTGTGTTTCTTTTCATGCGCGCTTCCTGAAAATGCAGGTCCACTCTAAAGCAAATTTAATAAGTTAATAAACAATATCATCGTTGAGATGTGAAATCTCATTCTCCAGGTCAGTATTTACTCTAAGGTTCCAATATCAACTTCAGCAAGAAAGAATTTAACTTTGCTACTCTCTATCTTTAAAAGCTGTTGGAATTGAAGAATTTTGTTTGTAGAATAATGATTCTACACTCTTTATAAATGTGTTGTGAAATTTTGAAGTTTATAAATCTATTAGTTTTGAAATTAGGGACGAAACAAAGGTTCCAATATCAACTTTTAACAAGTAAGAATTTAACTTTGCTACTCTCTATCTTTAATAGCTGTTGGAATTGAAGAATTTTTTTTTGTAGAATAATGATTCTACACTCTTTATAAATATGTTCTGAAATTTTGAAGTTTATAAATCTATTAGTTTTGGAATTAGGGACGAAACAAAGGTTCCAATATCAACTTTAACAAGTAAGAATTTTACTTTGCTACTCTCTATCTTTAATAGATGTTGGAATTGAAGAATTTTGTTTGTAGCAAAATAATTTTACACTCTTTATAAATGTGTTTTGAAGGTTATAAATCTATTAGTTTTGGAATTAGGGACGAAACAAAGGTTCCAATATCAACTGTAACAAGTAAGAATTTAACTTTGCTACTCTCTATCTTTAATAGCTGTTGGAATTGAAGAATTTTGTTTGTAGAATAATGATTTTACACTCTTTATAAATGTGTTGTGAAATTTTGAAGACTATACCCTTTCGATTTTTTAGATATTAAAAATGTGGTTCCATAATCAAATAATCGTAAAATTTAGGGTAACTCAATTCGACGTAATTTTGAATGTGAATAACTGCTAAACGGCTCAAGATAGAAACCCGCGGTTTTGAGCATTATGAACTATCCATTCTGCTCTACCTTTTTGTGAATTTATGGAATAATTCGTTTATTATTAACTGGGGAAAATGGAAAAATAATTTAAATCCTTATAGATAGAAAGCAACTGAGTTCACCCCTTAATTTGTCGTGCTTTCTTTTATACGTACACTGATTTTCATGAACATCTGAGACTAAAAAAAATTTTTGTCAAAAAAATTTGAAGGCTATAACCCTTTCGATTTTTTTGATATGAAAAATGTGGTTCCATAATCAAATAATCGTAAAATTTAGGGTAACTCAATTCGACGTAATTTTGAATGTGAATAACTGCTAAACGGCTCAAGATAGAAACCCGCGGTTTTGAGCATTATAAACTATCCATTCTGCTGTACATTTTTGTGAATTTATGGAATAATTCGTTCACTATTAACTGGGGAACTGATCCGGGTTAGAACTCATCCGGGTCAGAACTCATTCGAGTCAGAACTTATCCGGGTCAGAACTGATCCGGGTCAGAACTCATCCGGGTCAGAACTGATCCGGGTCAGAACTCATCCGGGTCAGAACTCATCCGGGTCAGAACTCATCCGGGTCAGAACTGATCCGGGTCAGAACTGATCTGGGTCAGAACTCATCCGGGTCAGAACTCATCCGGGTCAGAACTCATCCGGGTCAGAACTCATCCGGGTCAGAACTGATCCGGGTCAGAACTCATCCGGGTCAGAACTGATCCGATTTTTTTGATATGAAAAATGTGGTTCCATAATCAAATAATCATAAAATTTAGGGTAACGCAATTCGACGTATTTTTGAATGTGAATAACTGTTAAACGGCTCAAGATAGAAACCCGCGGTTTTCAGTATTTTAAACTATCCGTTCTGCTCTATCTTTTTGTGAATTTATGGAATAATTCGTTCACTATTAACTGGGGAAAATGGAAAAATAATTTAAATCCTTATAGATAGAAAGCAACTGAGTTGACCCCTTAATTTGTCGTGCTTTCTTTTATATGTACACTGATTTTCATCAACATCTGAGATTAAAAAAATTTTTGTCAAAAAATTTTGAAGGCTATACCCTTTCGATTTTTTTGATATGAAAAATGTGGTTCCATAATCAAATAATCGTAAAATTTAGGGTAATGCAATTCGACGTATTTTTGAATGTGAATAACTGCTAAACGGCTCAAGATAGAAACCCGCGGTTTTCAGCATTTTAAACTATCCATTCTGCTCCATCCTTTTGTGAATTTATGGAATAATTCGTTCACTATTAACTGGGGAAAATGAAAAAATAATTTAAATCCTTATAGATAGAAAGCAACTGAGTTCACCCCTTAATTTGTCGTGCTTTTTTTTATATGTACACTGATTTTCATCAACATCTGAGACTAAAAAAATTTTTGTCAAAAAATAATGAAGGCTATACCCTTTCGATTTTTTAGATATTAAAAATGTGGTTCCATAATCAAATAATCGTAAAATTTAGGGTAGCAATTCGACGTATTTTTGAATGTGAATAACTGCTAAACGGCTCAAGATAGAAACCCGCGGTTTTGAGCATTATAAACTATCCATTCTGCTCTACCTTTTTGTGAATTTCTGAAATAATTCGTTCACTATTAACTGGGGAACTGATCCGGGTTAGAACTCATCCGGGTCAGAACTCATTCGGGTCAGAACTCATCCGGGTCAGAACTCATCCGGGTCAGAACTCATCCGGGTCAGAACTCATCCGGGTCAGAACTGATCCGGGTCAGAACTGATCCGGGTCAGAACTCATCCGGTTTAGAACTGATCCGGGTCAGAACTCATCCGGGTCAGAACTGATCCGGGTCAGAACTCATCCGGGTCAGAACTGATCCGGGTCAGAACTCATCCGGGTCAGAACTGATCCGATTTTTTAGATATGAAAAATGTGGTTCCATAATCAAATAATCGTAAAATTTAGGGTAGCAATTCGACGTATTTTTGAATGTGAATAACTGCTAAACGGCTCAAGATAGAAACCCGTGGATTTGAGCATTATAAACTATCCATTCTGCTCTACCTTTTTGTGAATTTATGGAATAATTCGTTCACTATTAACTGGGAAAAATGGAAAAATAATTTAAATCCTTATAGATAGAAAGCAACTGGTTCACCCCTTAATTTGTCGTGCTTTCTTTTATACGTACACTGATTTTCATCAACATCTGAGACTAAAAAAATTTTTGTCAAAAAATAATGAAGGCTATATATACCCTTTCGATTTTTTTGATATGAAAAATGTGGTTCCATAATCAAATAATCGTAAAATTTAGGGTAACTCAATTCGACGTAATTTTGAATGTGAATAACGGCTAAACGGCTCAAGATAGAAACCCGCGGTTTTGAGCATTATAAACTATCCATTCTGCTGTACATTTTTGTGAATTTATGGAATAATTCGTTCACTATTAACTGGGGAACTGATCCGGGTTAGAACTCATCCGGGTCAGAACTCATTCGGGTCAGAACTTATCCGGGTCAGAACTGATCCGGGTCAGAACTCATCCGGGTCAGAACTCATCCGGGTCAGAACTGATCCGGGTCAGAACTCATCCGGGTCAGAACTCATCCAGGTCAGAACTCATCCGGGTCAGAACTGATCCGGGTCAGAACTGATCCGGGTCAGAACTCATCCGGGTCAGAACTCATCCGGGTCAGAACTCATCCGGGTCAGAACTGATCCGGGTCAGAACTCATCCGGGTCAGAACTGATCCGATTTTTTTGATATGAAAAATGTGGTTCCATAATCAAATAATCATAAAATTTAGGGTAACGCAATTCGACGTATTTTTGAATGTGAATAACTGCTAAACGGCTCAAGATAGAAACCCGCGGATTTGAGCATTATAAACTGTCCATTCTGCTCTACCTTTTTGTGAATTTATAAAATAATTCGTTCACTATTTACTGGGGAACTGATCCGGGTTAGAACTCATCCGGGTCAGAACTAATTCGGGTCAGAACTGATCCGATTTTTTAGATAGTAAAAATGTGGATCCATAATCAAATAATCGTAAAATTTGGGGTAACGCAATTCGACGTATTTTTGAATGTGAATAACTGCTAAACGGCTCAAGATAGAAACCCGCGGTTTTGAGCATTATAAACTATCCATTCTGCTCTACCTTTTTGTGAATTTATGAAATAATTCGTTCACTATTAACTGGGGAACTCATCCCGGTCAGAACTCATTCGGGTCAGAACTCATCCGGGTCAGAACTGATCCGGGTCAGAACTCATCCGGGTCAGAACTCATCCGGTTCAGAACTGATCCGATTTTTTAGATATTAAAAATGTGGTTCCATAATCAAATAATCATAAAATTTAGGGTAACGCAATTCGACGTATTTTTGAATGTGAATAACTGTTAAACGGCTCAAGATAGAAACCCGCGGTTTTCAGTATTTTAAACTATCCGTTCTGCTCTATCTTTTTGTGAATTTATGGAATAATTCGTTCACTATTAACTGGGGAAAATGGAAAAATAATTTAAATCCTTATAGATAGAAAGCAACTGAGTTGACCCCTTAATTTGTCGTGCTTTCTTTTATACGTACACTGATTTTCATCAACATCTGAGACTAAAAAAATTTTTGTCAAAAAATAATGAAGGCTATACCCTTTCGATTTTTTTGATATGAAAAATGTGGTTCCATAATCAAATAATCGTAAAATTTAGGGTAATGCAATTCGACGTATTTTTGAATGTGAATAACTGCTAAACGGCTCAAGATAGAAACCCGCGGTTTTCAGCATTTTAAACTATCCGTTCTGCTCCATCCTTTTGTGAATTTATGGAATAATTCGTTCACTATTAACTGGGGAAAATGAAAAAATAATTTAAATCCTTATAGATAGAAAGCAACTGAGTTCACCCCTTAATTTGTCGTGCTTTTTTTTATACGTACACTGATTTTCATCAACATCTGAGACTAAAAAAATT